GATAAAATGGTGTTCTAAAACAGCTAATAATATACAACTTCCTGAAAATGAAACAACTCAGAGTTAACACCCAACTTCTATACCTGGACATACACTCCAGTTAGAATTTTATGTCAAAGAGACAGAGCAACGTAACAGGGACTTAAGGGTAACTTACAGTTATTGGTGGAGGTAACAGCAGATATATCTCTGAACCTTACTGTTTTTTAGATTAGTAGCAAGGCTGAAATACAGAAATGGCTTTTCCCTATTTGACAGAGAACCAAAACCAAGTTGGCTTCTAGAGTCAAAGCTGTGAAATGTTGGGGGATTAGCTGCTGATTTAAAGACAATGTCTAGCTTCCAGCTCCTGTTCTATGTGGTGCTTATTATAATGAACACAATGACTCTGATAACTGAATGTGGAAGTTAAGGAAAATGTGGGAACTACCAGGCAGAACTTGCTGGACTGTTCCGTGAGGGAGTCTTTCCTTCCTTGGTCTGAAAGTAAAGTTGGGTGTTAATAATGCATTAATATGCAATGCTGAAAAGTATGTAAGAGCTGGAAATCACATGTGCATTATCAGTTTCAGGAAACTGTGGCAATACTTGAAAGACCGTTCAGAATGTGACAAGTGAAAGGATTCTTCTGTTTCAACTTGAAGCTTTCAGCTTTGTAAGGTTTTGTTCAGTTTTTTAGAAAGGAAAGCTATCCTGGGGGAATTCTAGTACAAGATTACAAAAAAAAATTCTTTCCTGAAGTTACTCTTAAAGAAGCTTGATGCATTTTTATTCAAAGTTGTTACTGATGTTTGTTTAAGGACTGCTTTTTTTACAGTGAATCTGCAGAAGGAAACTAGAAGAAAATATTTTTAATAGAGTTGATGTTCCAAATTTACCAGATTACTCTTAAAAACTCATGGCTGTTTGGAACTTCAGGAATACTGGACTTGCTTGGTACTTTCTAATTACTAATTAAAGTCCTGTATTCCTAAAAGGGAAGGACTGCATGAATATGATTCTAAGAAGAAAAAATATGTTCCTCGGTTAGTAGTAAGGGTATTCTTCCTTCCGTATTCTTCCCTCCACATATCCTGACTTGCCTAGCAAGAATCCTTCCAACAATATCACATGTCCTTTTGTGCTTTAGGGAAAAAAAAATTAATTGGTGAACTCTTCTTTTAATAGCAAACTATTTTATGCTCAGTCATAAAAATGTTACAAATCAAAGTGCACTGGCATAACAAACATTTCTGTTGCCTACAAACAGGACAGCTGTTATAGGAAGTGGATTTTCTCGATTAGCCTCTTTCTTTTTATTCCATCTTTATAATGAGTTATCATTATTTGTGACAACCAGCCATTTTCAGAGCTACTGCTCTTGAATATCGTATTTGATGACACTATTTACACACTAACTCATGTCTTCAAATATTGCACTGTTTCAAGTGAGTCAGTGGCACTGCCATTTAGAGGATATGACAGCAAGAATAATGGAAACAGGGCTAGTAGTTAATCACTATTGCTAATACCCGTGCAGCAGCACATTTGGAAAAATTTGGGGATGGGGGAGATATTTCTAAATGCTTCTGAGAGTTGGTTACTCTGTAACCTCAAGAAAGTGGGTTTTTTTCTTTAGAATCTCTACAATGGGTGCAAAAGGGATAACTAAATAGTTATAAGAGATAACAAATGGATAACTTCATAGTTTTAGTGATGTGCATTAAGTTTTAGTGATGTGCTTGTAGGATTTGAGGAAGCATAACAGGTGGTCAAAGACATAGATGAAAAAATACTGAAGTATGAATAACGTATGAATTTCCTTAACCAGTTTTCAGTTTCTCATCAAGAAGATCAGGCTTACTTTACAAACTGCAGTTCTTACTGACAGCCTTCTGGTGATGCATGTTCCAGTAACTACTTCCAATATAAATATTAGGCAACTCTGCAAAAAGGCAGATTTTTGTTAAGAAGAAATGCAATATAACTGTAGTTGCTAAATGAAAAACTAGTTCATTGGTTTAATTAGAAACTAATGAAAATGTACATTTCAAATGTACAAAGAGAATGTCTTTGTGGGATGCTGACTCTAAAAGATCATACTGTGCTGAAGCAAGGTGTGTTGTCAGACAAGACACTTTTCACTATTTTACTTTCCATAAAATTGAAATGCTTAGGAATCCTCATGATTTCATTGATGACTGAACTCTGAAGCTAATATGCATGCTTAATTTCTACTGATAATAAACTAATGATGCATTTTTTTTCCTCAAAACAATCTTTCTTAAAATGATAAATGCAATTCCTTGGAAAAAGATGAAAATAACAGATAACCTGTTGAATTCAATCTCACGTAACAGGCTGAGGTACCTCTACTTGACCCTTAACAATATTCAGAGCATCTCCCATTTAACAGCATAAAAAATTGAGCATTCCCTCAGGGGTGCCCTGTTGGGACAGTGCTGGTGTAAGAACCTACCTGAAAGACCACACTTGCAAAAGAGACTGAGTTTTAACTTTTTTGTAGGTTCTCTAGGATAAACACAGTACATGAGCCAAATGACTAGTATCTGGCTAACCTATGAATAATGTAAGACTGAGTCATCAGAAGTCCACAGAAAGCAGATATGGTGGCTTTGTTTCTTGAATACCACATCTTTCTTTTAAATTTCATGGCAGGTTTGTTTGTGAACTCCCCCGTGAGAAGTTTACAAAAACTTAAACACAGTATCTATAGGTATGGATTCCACTTCCTAAATTGCATAATTGCAATAATTACAAGTGAGACATGATGAACAAGTTCTGCCACAAACTGCCAAATTAATGATAAGAAAACAGTTTAAATAATTGAAGAGACATGTACCTGTGTTTACATTTATTCTATACCTATAAACTCATTCTGGTACTCTCCCAGAGAGTTATTATTTTTGAACTGACCTGATGCCTACTTCACGAATAATAATAATTTTTCTTGCTGCTGTAGAAACCGCGTGTTTTAAAAAGTCTTTGATTTTAAACAGAAGTGTGGTATGAATTATGAATGTTAACTATTTCAGAATAAAACATGAGTACAATTTTTATCTTTATGTGAGAGTCAAGATGACTGGTTAATTTAAGACAAATAAAACAGTATTTTATTTTATAAAAATAAACCAGTATTTCTTTGCTGTCAAAAGGGCATACAGCAAAGAAACAGTTTATCTCTGTAATAGAAGAAGAATATTAACTCTCCAGAGAAGCTATGAATGCTGACAGAGGAGACCCTGTTATCCTTACTTGCAGACTTCAGTGATGCATACATAAGGACCTGCAGTTGGATGAATCTTGGATTTTTCCAAATGATTGTGGAACATTCCTTAAATCTTAGTACACTTGCATTTGCATTAGCATACTAGCAAATTAAGGCACAAACTTTGTGTACTACTTAAAAGCATACAAACTAACAAGAATATTTCCCATTGCTCTTGAAAAATATCTTTGGGCTACTTGGAAGTACAGAAGTAAATATATCCAGTATGCTTATAAGGAAGTTTAAATTTATGCCACCAAGTCTTCCAAGCACTATAGTCTCATGGGTATGTATAAGCTTCCTTAGCTCCAAGAAAAAAAATCACTTAAGAAATGCCAGAAGCACTCACCATTCCTTATACTTGGATGCTGACAGTTCCACCTCAAATGCAGGTGATGTGCTCCAGCATGATGATTCATTGTTTTATTTGGACTCTAACTCCAATGTAATAGACAAACTCTTCTAGACAACAGATATTTTGGTCACACATAGCTCTTAAACATTACCACTCTACTACTATAAATACACTTCAGAGAGCAAAAATGTTGTGGACAATAGTCACCTTAACAGAAATAAAAATGTAATGTAGCCACTGGCTTCACTACATCTCAATCCAACTGTAATAATAAAAATATAGGGCTAATTAACATTCCAGATGCTGTGTTACTTAAAATCCTCATTTCTTACTTGCATTAGCAGCAACAGGCATCCATTGATCTTAAAAATTTTAAGCAACTTAACTCTGGAACTCAGACCAGGATACTGTAACTTGTTCCTATTTCTATGTAGGGCCTTGGAAAATAATGCCAGCTGCAAAGAGGACCCAGAGCCAGAGTAATAAACTGTGCCTTTCCTCTCACCCCCTATCTAGTAAGTTTTTACTTTTCCTGGTGGAATTTTTTTAATATATACAAGGTTTTTACTCCTGGTGACATTTAAAACTTGCCTGTCCCCAGTCTTTTGAAATCTGATTCAATGACTTTAAAAAGTTAGAAGTTAGTATTTCTACTCTGCCTTGCTCAGCCTGTCAGACGCTTTAAACATACTTCTTTTTTTTGGTTTCTTGAACAATTTCCTTATGCCATAGAGAACTAGTATTTTTCTTTGGACACTAAGCATGGAATGTACTCTTGCTTAGCATAAACTTTTGTAGACTCCAGCTGCATTCTGAGATTTATTACCAATTTAAGGAAACAAATCCAGATCAAAAGCAAATCAAGCAATTCACATTCTTTAACTCCTCTAAGATCAACAATATTTGTTATCTGCTGCTGTTATGCTGCTGTCATTTGTAAACCTCTTTCTGTTGGCCTGCTGCTTTTACATATTCTTTGGAAGGCAGATGATTTGCAGTATTTCTTAACATGTGTAGTCAAGACTTGATACTGGTTTTTTTGTTTCTTAAACAAACATAGGTCATTGTAAAGGAGACATATTACTGAATTCTGATGGCTTTCTAGGAAGAAAAGGTGTGGCTTAAGTAAATCACAGCAAAAGTCAGAAGTATTTACTACAGTATGGTAAGAAATGCACAAGTAACTCGATTTTCTACACAAGAAAATTCTGGATTTCACTGTTCAGTAAGTACATTTGCATCCAGAATCTAACTGACCTTCATCCTTAAAGTATCACTTAAAAATATCAGTTGCAGAAAGAATTTAAAAAATATAAAACTTTCTAGTTGAAATACTTGTCAAAACTGTCTTCAGTTTTAAGGTCAACATGTATGATAGTCACCACATTAGAGTGCTGCTGGTGTTGACATTCGGGACAGGGATAGCCGAGTGAGAACACAGCTTAAAGTTGAAAACCTCTGAAAAATGTCACTAGCAGTTACTTGCTGTGAAACAGATAAAAGCCACAGTCCCTTAAATCTATAGTATGTGCTTTTCTATTTACATGTAACCTAAATGACAATATTACTGTGACTGGATATATAGCATTTCGCAGTATATGTCTTTAATGCAGGTGTAGGCATCATTCAAGATGGTACACATGTATATAAAAAAAACCAATTAATTTCAAAGTAATCCTAGAAGAATATTGCAAATAATGTTGTATAAACGCGTAGTGTTTGAGGGGAAAAAAATACTTCACTGGAAAATGAAGTCCCACACATTGAGTTTGGCACTTGTTTATCACTATGTCACTTTCTTTTTGATTGAAGACAGCTCTTTCTGAATCTCACTGAATTTTGGCCGGTTTTCTGGTTTGTAGTCCCAGCACCTCTGCATTATTTTATATATTTCTTCTGGACATTTTTGCGGTGCTGACATTCGGTAGCCTGGTACACAAAAAAAAGGGGAAAATGTTTAGCATTGAAAACTGATGCATATTGACAAATCTAAAAAGATACAAGCGAAGTTCAAGATCATTGCATTAAAAAAGATCTTCAGGGTAATATGAGGGAAGTCTTCAATGCATAACCTATACAAGATAGATAATTATTAAACTAATCAAAGCTCAGGTACCAATGACATTTAAGTTGGGCATGGTAAATTGTCAGTACACTTGTCATCCCTAAGGGCAGCAATCTGCATAGATTTGTTTCCTGTCTTAGGAAGTAGCTACTCTCTAAGTTTTAATCCTGTTCCCATTTTTCCCCCACTGAGGAAATCAATAATAAATATTAAGAGGGGAGTAAATTTCGTTGCTCTTTCTCAAAATGGATCAACTTGTATTCTCATGCCTCTTTCTTTTCTTGTCTCCTTAAGAAGTTCCCTTCCCACTTGCATTTTATCCATTTATTCTTCCTCCCTCCTGTTTTCTTAACTTTTATATTTTCCATCATCTTAACTCTCTCACTCTTCTGGTTTGCTAACATAGGCAGTGGCCTTCCACAGCTCTCTGCTGCCATCAACTGAAGAAGGTCTCTGACTTGGTGATAAGCTGGAGAATGAGCAATCAGTTAAGTAAATTAGCAGCTAATCATTCAGAAGACACAGATAAGTGGCTGTTCCAGCATATCGTCCATACCCTGGACCAAAGAGATGTACTCACAGCAATGAAGGCAACTTCCCAATGAGTAGGAAGTTGGGCAAAATGCCAGGAGGACTGCATGGATGAACAAGGAGTGCCTGGACAAATTCAAACACAAAAACAGGTAATGTGGGAGGAATACAGAAACATCGTCTGGGCACCCAGAGATGAAGTTAGGAAAGCTAAAGCCCAAATGGGATTGAATCTGGCCAGGGATGTCAAAGACAACAAGAAGGGCTTCTGTAAGTTCACAGGTGATGAAAGAAAGTCGAGGGACAATGTGGGCCACTGCTGAATGAGGTAGGGCACCTGGTGACACAGGACATGGAAAAGGCTGAGGTACTGAATGCCGCTTTCACCTCAGTGTCAACTAGCAAGACCTGCCTTCAGGAATCCCAGGCCTCAGAGACCAGGGAGAAAATCTGGAGCAAGGAAGATGCACACTTGGTGGAAAAGGATCTGGTCAGGGAATACTTAAGCAAAATGGACTTATGTAAGTCCACAGGCCCTGATGGGATGCACCCATGAGAGCTGAGGGAGTTGGCTGATGTCACTGCAAAGCCACTCTCAATAATCTTTCATCCATCATGGCGACTGGGAGAAGTGCCTGCGGACTAGAGTAAAGCAAATGTCACTCCTGTCTTCAAGGAGGATCCAGGGAACTACAGACTGGCCAGCCTCACCTTGATCCCTGAGAAGGTGATGGAGCAGCTAATCCTGGAAACAATTTCCAGGCACATGAAGGACAAGAAAGTCATCAGGAGTAGTCAGCATGGATTTGCCAAGGGGAAGTCATGCTTGACCAACCTGATCACCTTCTATGATGAAATGACTGGCTTGGTAGATGAGAGGAGAGCAGTGGATATTGTCTACCTCAGTAGCCTAAGTAAGGCTTTCAACACTGCCTGATGTAAAATCCTCACAAAGAAAGGCTGGATGAGCTGACAGTGAGGTGGACTGAAAACTGGCTGAAAGGGTGGTCCCAGAGGGAGTTGGTCAGTGGCACAAAGTCTAGTTGGAGGCCAGCAACTACTGGTGCACCCCAAGGGTCAATACTGGGTTCAATCTTATTTAACATCTGCATTAATGATCTTGATAACAGGGTGGAGTGCACTCTAAGGAAGTCTGCAGATGACAGCAAACTCGGAGGAGGGGCCAATACACCAGAGGGTCCTCCTGCCATCCAGAGGGACCTGGACAGGTTGGAGAAATGGGCTGACAGGAACCTCATGCAGTTTAACAAGGGGAATTGCAAAGTCCTGCACCTGGGGAGGAACAACCCCAGGCACCAGTACATGCTGGGGGCTGCCCAGCTGGAAAGCAGCCTAGCAGAAAGGGGATCCTTATGGACACAAAGGGTTGAACATGCACCAGAAATGTGTCCTTGTGGCAAAGAAGGCTAATTGTATCCTGGCCTACATTAAAAGAAGTCTTACCAGCAGGTCAAGGGTGATGATCTGTCCCCTCTGCTCAGCACTGGTGAGGCCACACCTGGAGTACTGTGTCCAGTGTTGGGCTCCCCAGTACAAGAAAGCACTGGAGAGAATCCCATGAAGGGCCAGCAAGACAATGAAGGGACTGGAGCATCTCTCCTGTGAGGAAAGGCTGAGGGAGCTGGGACTGTCCAGCCTGGAGAAGAGAAGGCTTGGGGGGATCTCATCAATGCATATAAACACCTGCAGGGAGGGTGCCAAGAGGACGGAGCCAGGCTCTTGTCAGCGGTGCCCAGTGACAGGACCAGAGGCAATGGGCACAGACTGAAACACAGGAGGTTCCCTCTGAACATCAGGAAACACTCTTTCACTGTCAGGGTAACCGAGCTCTGGCACAGGTGGCCCACGGAGGTGGTGGAATCTCCCTCCCTGGAGACATGCAAAAGCCATCTGGGAATGGTCCTGGGCACCCAGCTCTAGGTGATCCTGCTTGAGCAGAAGGGTTGGACCAGATGACATTCAAAGGTTCCCACAGATCTCAGTCATTCTGTGACTCTGTGATTCTATGAACTGTTTACCCTGTGTAGGTCTCTGAACAAATGATAGGCAGTGGACCATAAAGTGAGTTGGCACATAGGACTATACAGCTAAATGGAGCTCCGTGACTCCAGACTTACTGCACAGGTCTCTGTATCTCTGCATCTCTCTTTCTAAAGCAGAGTATAAATGACACTGGCCTCATACAACAGGTAAATCTGTGAAATATTTTTCCTTTGTTATATTGCATGCATCTGCTCTAGGTGCCGGATTAATGCATGTAACTTCAAAGGAGAACGGCTGGACTCTAGGACACTTAGAGTCAAGATAATACAAAACTATGTAAAAATCCTTTCCTTCACAAAGTTTCCCCTAGAAACTAGTTCTTCAAAACAGTGACAGCAGCAACTACTTTTTGTCCTTAAAGTGAAGTGATTCTATATAGTTATTTAGAATTGAAATTAACCTGGTTTAAAGCAAGCATTCAAGTGACTTAATTCACTGAAGGCTCTTGCTGATTAAGTAATTGAGATAGATAAGATCAGGAAGAAAATCTGGAGTGTCTTAGCTGACTATTCTAACAGAAGGCCTATTACATACTGAAAACCAAGAAAACAGGCTGATAAAAGAAATGGAAATTCCATTAAAAAAAAAAGAAAAAGAATTGCTGACGGGTGACAGGACTATTTTCCCCACAGTATATATAGCTGAAAAAGCATGACCATACTTCTAAACCTTTGAATTTTATCAGTTGCAAGAGATTATTATTCTCAGTGGATTAAAACAGAATCTCACTACTTAGGTAGTAAGACTTGTTTTTACAAACACTCCTCTGGTCTGGAAATCATTGGATTTTTTGATTTGGCCTTTTAAGGAGAAACTTTGATGGTAATTTACAGTGCTTATAACAAACACTGGCAATTTGTATAAATTAGCAAACTAGTTGTTTGGGGTTTTTTTAAAATAATTTAGCAGTTTCACTAGCTTAGAACCTGTTTATGAATTACACAGTAGTACTATGTAGAGGAGGAACAGTTCTGAAATGCCGCTGAAGATGATGAAAATAAATCAAAGTCCTGAAATCCTGCTCACAGTTATTTGCTACTTTAAATAAGAGCCTTTTGATTATTTTGTAAAAGAGAAATGTGGCTTTCAACGCTAAACTAGCTTACCATTCTCCACCATAATTGCTAAATTTTTGCCTGAAGTGCTTTAATAGAGAAGATAGAATGATTCAGATTTTTAATTCTGGCAGTTTAGAATATTTATACCTGCATTAGCATAATCTTAAATAATTCATTCTGGGCAAGCCTCTACTTTGCACAGCGGTAAATCCTTCCTCTCCATCCCACCTTTTAGTTCTGCAATAATGAAAGTCAGCATGCTGTAAGTCTTCTGTCCTACACTGGTCAGTGTATTCCTTTTTTCAAGACACCTATATATCACAATACCCCTCCCAGAAAGCTAGATTCAGCAATTAAAAAATCTCATAATATTTTTGCTAAAGTTGCTGGATAACTCATATGTTATTTCTTTGCTATTTTATACTGTATGTACTACATCCTTATGGATCTATACAGTATTTCTTTCATTCCCTATGAATAACTACCTTTCTCGACTTGTTCTCGTGCTTGTTGGTTGGTCATTCCAGGGTACGGACATACTCCTAAACTGAAGGTCTCCCACAAAAGGATTCCAAAGCTCCAGACATCACTCTCAGATGTGTATCTCCCTAAGAAAAGGAGAGAAAAGCCTCAGCTTAATGTACAAAGAAATTAATGTTTCAGATAATTATGGCCCCAAATTTTCTGTAAAGTGTTACATTGGATAGCTTTAAGCAGAACAAAGCTGTAGCTACTAATAAGACCTTCTGCAGATATCATAGTCTCCTGTATTTCAAATAATAAACATATTATCTTAAGGTCAAAACCTAGGAATAATATAAGCTAACTTAAAGTTCTACAATTTGACAGACCTTACCATGTCAGTTATTTTTCATGCAAGTTAAGAATAGCCTTCCTTCTTAATGCACAAATGTTTTTTTTTCTTTTAATATAAAAGGACAGAAAAATGTCAGTTTCCTCCCTTTTTTATTATCACTTTCAATTCAAAAGATACTTTTTAAAAAAATTACCTTTCCCAGTTCCCTAATATAGCATGGCAATGAGTATTTTGAGAGGAGCTACCATCAACATAGTTTGGAACTGCAAACAGGGCCTGGTTTTCACACTTTGAGAACCTGTTCTCTGAAAATGAAAGTATAGTTGCTTCAACTTGTTTAATTTGGACCCTGAAGAACACAGGCACCCAATCAGTTAAAGAAAAAAAAAATAAAATCTGGCCTGCTCGTTCCATTGTCTTCAACTATGCTTCAGATATAGCAAAATAGATAATTGATAGATAATTGAATTCCAAACATCTTTGTGTAATGAAAGCTTTATATTATAGGAGAAGGATAGATCTTGGAGCAGATATTTCTATTGTCCCTGATGGATTCACATTAAGAAGGACGGATTCACATCAGAAAGTTAAGGGTCCAAGCTCTTTGCAGCAGGATCTGTGAAAATGCTATGTTAAAAAAGCATTTTCAACATAACTTTCAACATTTTTCATGACTGTTTTTCTTTGTTCCATACTATTACATTGTATATGTGTGTCTTTATTCTTTAAAATACACACATGCTTGTGAATGTATTATTTGTTCATCTCTAATCATTAAACAAAACAAACTAAGCCACTTCTGACTAAAAAAAAGGAAAATACATGTAAATTACAGTGACAGTTTGGTGATATGACAACTGTTCTGACATCAGAAAGTTCAGTTTACTGTTAAACCAAGTATCACTTCCAGCTACGTTACATCAGCTTGTGTGCCTTGTAGATGGCAATTATGGACATTCACTATGCTCTTTGTAGTAAGATTAGTTTTCTTGTCTATTTATCAACTCTCTTCAGAGTCTGGCATCCAGTAATTTAACATTTTTCATTGAAATCATTCAGTAGATACAAGATAGGTGATTAGGTTTTTTTAATGGAAGTACAAGTTCTGCACAGTTAATTATCTTTTCCACTATGACATTATCTGGGTAAAAAAAAAGGCCTGTTCATTCACAAAAAAACCCCTCCACAGTGATTTATTAACATGACAAACAACTCAAAAATGTTGTACTGGAAAAACATGCATATTAAATGCATATGTTAATTTTCAGAGAACAGGAAGCAAAAATACCCTACACTTGGCCTAAACATGTGATTTTATTAGGAACTTTTCAAACTTTTTTTTCCACTTTCTGGAAGTGACGGAAATCATATAGCTCCAAGCAAAAATAACAGTATGGAATGGCACTGAACAGCACCTACTGAACCAAAGATTCAATCTCCCACAAGCTCTAGTAGCATCAGGATTTCACTTATGACTTCAGATACAACTCCCTAGCCCCTCCATTTGCGCTAATCTGGTTTCTAGACTTCACAACTTGCGGGTTTTTTAATTAAAAAAACTTTTTGTGACTGCTATTAATTTGTCATATACAGTGAATCCAGAAATGACTGAAAAAATGACCTTTTACATAGTTTCTTAAGCACTGTATCATTCGTGTAATAACCAAACAACACTATCCCTCCTTTTCTTCCCACCCTTAAATCTTGCCATTACGAACTGACATGGACAGTGGTTGCCAACTAGTTTTGAAATATTGCAGATTTAGTTCTATTTCACTCTGATACCTTTAAATACCTTCAGCCTTACCTGTACAAATTAATGCAATACTTATGACCATATTATTAGGATGGTAAATAGAAAAACATGAACAATTATTTTTACTCACATCGTTCAAGGGAATGGAAAAAATGATCCTTCAAAACCACATAGAAAACTTCTACGACATTTTGAAAGTTGAATGTTAGACTTCTGAACACATTAACAAATGTTTGAGAGAGCTTATTTTCCAAACACTACAGAAAATCACTTAAAGCTGCTTCAGTATGTATGCATTTTAGGAAACACAAAATAAGTAAATGTTAATCAACTATCCTCTCCTCTCCTGTACTATGCAGAAAAAAAGACTCAAAAATACAAAGTGAAGGTGCTGTCACAAAAGCCTGTTTCCTGCTTTCATGTAGTCTGCTGGACTGCATGTGGCTATGAAGGATAGGCTTCTATTATATATCAAATAAACCGTATGCATTTCTGAAATAACAAAAATAAAAATTCAAACCACCTTTTATTGTGGAACAAACACTCAAAATAGAAAAGTGTGCTCCCCAGTGAACACTAGCAACACTAACACATCTTAGAATAACTGATAATGCAGGATCAATTACTGTAACTAAATTTATTATTAGCCTTCTAAAGAGAAGATCTGCTTTATTGTGTTATGGCATTAACTCATGCAAAAGCACTAATGAGATGAAGCATTTTGCTATCAATCATAAGTCACAAACTAATGATTTCCAACGTATGATATAAAAAAAAAAAAGCTTTAAGAGATGGCAGAAATATTTATAGACACTTCAAATGAAGAATTTAAAACTATTTTTTTCTAAGTACTCAACTAAAGAACTGGTTAAGAGAACTACATCCAAAACATGGCATCGTTCCTTTAATATGCTGCTTCTTTACAGACCACTTTACTTACAAGAACTTATTTTTCTAGTTTCACGTAAGTTAAAAAGCCAAATATAGCACATTCTGTCCCTGTTCTGGAATTATTACCCATGTAGTGTGGACCACTTCCCTCAATCAGAAATAATGGATTTTCTCCCCCAATATAATAGCCTAGCAATATATAAAAATGCAGGTTAAAAACAGCAGCAGTTAAAAATATAAATCAGTGACTGTACTTTTCTCTGGTACAATGATTTATCTAAGAGTGTTCTAGTATGTTAACACTTAATACTGTTTTCAAAGAGGTGCTAGAACAATCACTGCCATAAATATGCAGAACTTGCCATTCATTTTGCTAATGATTATGATTTACATGACTGCCTAGGTAGTCTACTAGAATGAGTCAGCAACATAACCAAAGCATTGTCTTATTGCTGCATAATAGCAATTTTGATGTTGTTGCCTTATTCTTTTTGAAGTCAAATCAGTATTTTATACTTAACTTGAATAATACTGAAATATTAAAATTATTTTAAATATTATGGATTTGAACTGGGCACTAGGAATATGTATATATACTCAAATATTGCCCACAGTGTAGTCCTCGTGCTCCTTATGCTACTTTTGATTTTTATTTTTTTCTTCTCCAAGAACATACAACTATGTCCTTACCATAGTTGAGAGCTTCTGGAGCAGTCCACTTGATAGGAATCTGCTTTAGGCCCGATGATGAGTACACGCCATCATCCTCTTGCCGGGACATTCCAAAATCGCTTATTTTCAAAATGTTGCTTTCACCTACCAAGCAGTTCCTTGCAGCCAGGTCTCTAAGAACAAGAAATAAACCCACATATTTTTACACATTTGAAAGTACTAAAAGCCATTTAAAATGGCTAAGCCCCTCAGCCAAGATGGTGGCACCTCTCAGACAACATATTTAAGAAAGGGTAAAAATGTGGAAAAGAGGAGTGAGAGAGGAAAAAAAATATTGCGCAAAATTATCCTGTGAACACCAAGGTCAGTGAAGGAGTGGAGGGAGGAGGTGCTGGAGATGCTGTAGGTGCTCCAGGCACTACAGCAGAGATTTCCATGCAGCCTTTGGAAGGACCCACGCTGGAGCAGCTTCTGAAAGACTGTATCCCCTGGGAGGGACCCCATCTTGGAGCAGGGGAAAAGTGTGAGGAGAGGCAGAGAAGAGCTGTTATGGACTGACTGCAACCCCCATTCCCCATCCCCCCTGTGCCCCTCGGCAGGGGGAGGAAGTGGAGGAGTCAGGAATGAAGGAGTAAAGGTGACTTTCAGAAGATGGGATGGGTGGCGGAAAGGTATTGCAGTTTTTGTCTTTATTTCTCACCATCCAACTCTATTTTAATTGGCAATAAACTAAATTAATGTTCCCCAAGTTGAGTCTGTTTTGCTGTGACAGTAATTGGTGAATGATCTCCCTGTCTTTATCCTGACCCTCGAGTTTTCTGTCTTATTTTCTCCCCTGTCCTGTTGAGGAGGGGGAGTGAGAGAGGGGCTGGCTGGGCATCTGGCAGTCAGCCAAAGTCAACCGACCACAATTCCCCTCTGAGGTCACAGAAATAAACCCACAGATTAACAAATCAGATTTTATGCAAAATGAAACAGAATTTGAAGAAGCACCCTGAAACATGTTCCCATAGTAATGAACGACAGTGAAAACCAGAGAACTGGCTCCACCTTCTCTCTGCTTATATTATCTTAGCATTAGAGTTTCCATCAAAACCAAAAAGCTACTCAGTATTACAGGAAAAGGAATTTTGGCTCAGTGATGTATGAGAAGTTCAGAAAATCAACAGCTTTCCTTTCCCTCCCTCCATCTCAAACATGTTTTTACAGATTAGGAGACAGCCTGTAGTAATATCTGATAAAGACCTACTGTGCCTTCTCTACAGCATACATTTGGAATAATAATATATGCTAATAATATATTATTAACATACTATAAGTATATTACTTTTAATGTTTTCACAATGTATTAAAATACTAAAACATAAAATATATATTATTCCCTTCTTAATGTAATAAAATACAAGAAACTTAAATAGCTAATATGCTCACAAATGGCTTGTCTTATGTGGATATTCCAGAATAACTATACTAGCTTAAATGTTTTGGATTGCACCTGTAGCATAGTTTTGAAGTGAATCCCCTGAGCACTTAATGCACATCCATTGGTTTCAAAAAATGATTTTGGTGCATGCAAACTAGATTACCCTTGGAAGAAACTAACCTAGAACTCTGCCCATGGTGTGCACGAGATTTGTTTCTACAGCTAATGCAGTAAGAAGGCTCTGAACCAATGACAAACAGCTTCAAATTCTATGCATGGTGGGGACATTCATGACAAAGGATTGAACTATATTTAGTCTAAAAGTAAAAGTCTTGAGCCACATACAAGGATGTTAAAGCTCATACATCTACAATTCCTTTGACCAACTAATCCATACTGATATTGCAATACATTATTTGATATGTAGACAGAGCCTGTGTTTGAGCATAAATACTGTAGCTTGATTCAAGAATTTTAATGTATTTGACTCACACAACTTTTCTGCCACTAAGAACATTTATCACTCTTGAGCTTCATGCTACAGTGATATAAATGCAGTTATTCTTGCAGTTAGAGAAGACGGACCACTTAAAAACAAGTCTGAAGTTACAGTGTCCAGCTGAAGATAAGCTCAAATGTATAAACCAGCTCAATATGCACTACGTTACATAGATGTTAGCATGTGGTACTGTTTGGTGAAAGTAAAGAGAGCTGCAAACCAAAATCAAATTGTTACTGCTTGTACTCAAGTCTGTAAAAAGTATCACCATGAAACTTCAGGAATCTATGGCTTAGGTTCCAATTGTACTTTAGTCGTTAGTTTTTTTATTGTTTTACTCAATATAGTCTAGATTTTGTGACAGATGAACATAAGGAGTGGAAAAAGTAATGAGGTCATATCTCAAAGAAAATTTACAGAGTTCATTAAAATCACAGACATCTTCCTACCAGAGTCTGACCTAGCATTTGAACAAGTTCTGGATCAGATTAAGAAAAAGCTGTATACTGAGCTGTCTTAGATTTATTCCTCATACATAAATCTGATTATTAGGGAATATATATTGTAAACAGTACACAGTATGATGCTTGTAAACAGAGATCACACTCAGTTCACATAATTTTTGTCTGTTTTGTATGTGACAGTTTTCTTTTTCTTTTAGACTCATCTAGAGGAATTGTTTTTCATCATTACTGAAAATTTAAAAAAACATTTCTATGAAAATCAAACTGGTACTTGAGAAAGTTGGTAAAGATTGCTCAGGATATGTTCAGGTTATATGTAAATTAGCACTAGATATACTGAAAGACCACAGACACACAATGTCTTTGCTTCATGAAACAGTGGTTTTCAAGCTGTCTATTAGCTGGCAGCAGGTCGCAGAATGATACAATTCAAGCTACCATGCCGCACACAAGTGCCAAGGGAGGAATCATGGGCCAGTGGTTAGCTAATGGCCCACAACTTGTGCAGGTGGACACAACTGTCAAGTCCGCCATCAATCTTTCCAGGCAAATTGTTTCTTTCTTTTTGTTTCAGTTTGTATGGAATAGAGAAGTATGTTCATTGCTAACTTCCACAGAGTATCAATAAAATTTTATGAAATAGTGAGTGTCAAGCTATTAACAATAAGATAGAAAAAGATGCATTATGATAAAACCTAACTTACTAATAAAGCTACAAAGAGCAAAGTAAATGTAGCAGTGCTGGTTATGAGTCTCACAGTATTAGTATTTTTTCTGCTTCTAGCTAAAACTCTATTTTTGAAGCTATAATACTATGTATTACTTTTAATACATCATTTGTGTTAATAAAGCCTTTTGAGCACTTAATATGTTTACTTCTGACTTAAGCAAATCTGCTCTTTTCCTTTCTCATGTGTAAGGCAGGCTCTCTCACATATTTAGAAAATACGTTTTATGTGATTCCCCCCCCCCCCCCCCCTTTTCTCCCCTT